GTAAAGAAGAATCCAAAGATGGAGTATTCCTATCTCCTAATCGACGTCTTCTGAATCTCGAGGACGAGATTCATCTTAAGGGGGTAGAATTGTAACACCCTAAAAATTTGCATTGTTTTAAATAGAAGAATTGGATTTGATTGGGTATTTTTGTGAGCATGCAAATCTAGGAAAATAATAACTTTTGTCAAAATAAAATCAACTATAAGGATTACATACATGATTGTGCATTCATGCCATGCTGCATATTATTTTTGAATGGTGTGGTTGAAATCAAACTTCAAATCGATTTGAATTTGTATTTCAAAATGTGGTTTGGAAATTAGAAAAGAAAAAGGGAAATGATTTCTTCCTCTCTCCCTCTTCCCTTTTGGCCTACTAGCCCAGCGCCAGCCCACTCTTTCCCCTCCGCAGGCCCGCTTCTGCCGCAGCCCAGCTCGGCTGGCTTACCCATGTGGCCCACTTACTCGCATGGCCTCCTATTTCCCACAGTGGCCCATTTAGCGGCCCAGCAGCCAGCAGCCCAGCGCAGCCGTAGGCACCGCGCCTCTTCTCTCCTTCCTCTCGCTGACAGCTGGGCCTCACTTGTCTGTTGCGCCTTTGTCCTCCCGTGTGTGTCCAGGACGGATTCCACCGCCATTGCCCGACTCCGTTGCGGCCACCCCCCCCCTCCGTTGCCTTGCTGCCCAAGCCGCCCCGCCTCATAAATACCTAGCCCCGTGCCCACCGCCTCCATCCCAAGCTTCAAAGCTATAGCTGCCCTCGCTGAGCCGCCGTAGACCTAGCGCCGCCTCGCCGTGCGCCACGTCGCCTCCATCCGCCCCGCACCGAGGTAAACCACCTAGTCGAGCTCGCCGTCATCTCCTTGTTCTTCCGGTGCTCTCGGTTCGATTAACCGTGACCCATAGGTCGTTTTCCGCATGCACAGCCCACCTCCGGCCTTGGCGCTGCCGCGCTCAGTCCTGTTTTGGCCGGCCGGCCTCGCCAGTCCTCTCTCATCCGTTCAATCTTAGATGAACGATCCAGATTAGATCCGATCTAGATTAGATTCATTACAACAAGATGTACGCGTTAGCAACAATGTTATCATGTCACTACTTCTAGAATTTTGTGGTTTAAACTCTAATTTGAATAATAATTATGCAATTGAATTTTATAAATAAAATATGATTTGTTTTACTTTAGTTTTGTAATTCAAATCTAAATTTGACTTAATTCAATTTATATATGCTTTTATATAGTTAAAACACATGAAGCTTATAGGTTTATATTTTCTCTTATGAGTAGATCTTTTGGTAGCCGTTTCTTTCAAACCGTAGTTCCGATTAGCGTGCCTCTCGCGTCTGTGTGTTCGTAGCGATGCATAGAATCGTGTTTCAAACTCTTTTATTTATTTTTATATGATTGATGTACTGTTCTAATTTAGATCTAATGTTTGCTTCATGTATGATTGCATGGATGCTTGTGTAGTGCTTTATGATCTTGTCTAGTCGGTGAGTTTTACGTGGTGAATCAAGAAGCAGATCTTTGAAGGTTTGGACTCAAAGAAGTATCTAAGTTTAAGGCAAGTATAGCATGAGATCATCCTTGTTGTCCTATTCACTTTAATAACATAATCATATGCATGTGTCCATCTTGGCAACCGTAGTAATTTTCCTAGCTATTTGATATCTTGGATTCCTTATCACCTATGGGGTATTGCATTGGGTAGTATGATGCTAGTGCTCAACTGGAGCCATGATCTTATAACTTGACTAATGGAATATGCAATAAACACTAAAAGATGCTTTTTAGCAACATGAAACAAGGGGGCTAGAGCATTGGGCTGTTTTTATGGTGCTCTAGATTCCTCTTTCTAAGGACTTATTTGTAAGTGATCATCCAGGACTTACAATACAACTGTGATGGCTATATGGCTCTTGCTTTAGCTCAGTATGAGGATCTTTTTTAGCTTGTTAGAGGTTACCTTTATTGGCGTAAGAATGGCTTGCCGAATCGGGTATAGGGCAGCCTCTACTCTTATGTGTATAGCCGTGATGGAATAGTGCCATTCGACAAGGGGTTCCTATATCTGTTTGTCGAGTGAATCTAATGGCCCTAACTTGTTAGACGAACCTTTGAAAGGCTTCATAGTGAACCCTGCCGACCTTCCTTGGTAGTGGGTCAAGAGGCTGATCACCTCGGGCGAAAGGGTAAATCACGACTCACAGTGAAAGTGTACAACCTCTACAGAGTGTAAAACTAGTATATCAGCCGTGCTCACGATCACGAGCGGCCTTAGAACCCTTACGGAATAAATGATGAACACTGATGATACTGATGATAAAGATGCTCACTAATGATTACTGTTAATGATGTTCATTATTCATGTTTACCTGATCATATGTTTATATGGGCTTGTGAATAAACTTGTTGCTACTCAATTGCTAAAATCATGACTCATTAAAAGCTAATCGTAGTTAAATCAGTGTCAGCCTTTTGAGCCTCATGAACCCCATGCTATATTTGTTGAGTATGACATGTACTTAGGCTTGCTTTATTTTTTAAATCTTTGGAAAAATTCCGGATGGCTACCAGATTGCTAGAGTTGGGAGGAATTAGACTTGTGATCAACCAGTCAGTTGTCCCTGTGGAAGTGGAGTCTTCACCTGAAGATCGGAGTTGTCTTTTTCGCTGTCTATACTCTGAGGTTGTATTCTTTATACTAATACGCTATGTAATAAGCATTGTCTTATGATATTATCCCTATTTGTAGCTATATGTGAGATTTGACTTCCTGGGCTCACATATGGTGTGTATCTGGTTTTGTTTTTAAAACCGAGTGCTACAACTAGCCTTTCGGAGCGCCTCTCATCAGAGGATCGTTGCTTAGTTGAGGCCTCGAGACTACGCGAATGAGGGGTCCCGAGCCCACATCCGTCGAGACTCATTTGGTCAGGACTCCCGAGCGGCGAGGGCTAAGCAAGTCTGTGCTCGTTTCTGAGCTCCTCAATACGAGCCCCTGAGTGACAGAGGCTCGAGCCCCTTGGGAGGCTTTGATCGGGTATCCAGTAGGAGTGCGCGAGCGCACTCGCTAGGTGTAGCCTCGAGCCCCTAGCTGATTGGTAGAATTAGTCAAGGGCTAATTGCATTGTCAAGTTGCTAAATCAAGGATGTATGTAACCCTACACCCTAGTGTTAGGTATTCGTCATCTAGTGCATAACTTTTGCTATGCACTTTATACATATTATGTCTAGATACATAGTAAAATCAATGTATTTAGAAAAGTCAAAACGTCTTATAATTTATAGTGGAGAGAATATTTAAAACCTTAGGTGGAATTCCTATCATTCCAAATCATCGCCATTTTTATCCAAAACTTTTGGAAGCACGCAATCTTATTTTTCACCATCTAAATTTGAAAGCCACAGCCAGTAAGCCCTAACTGCTTTGAGTGCAAGAGCCAAAACGTTGGACACCGCCTGATCCTGGTACTCTGAAAATCAATGTGGATGGGGCCTATAATCCTAATTTCGTGTCGACCGTGGTGAGAGTTGTTATCAGGGACTATGAGGGCCATCTGAAACTAACAGCTTGGTGCCTATTGTTTCATTGCAGGGACGCTGAGGAAGCCAAAGCCAAAGTGGCCACATGTCGTGAAGGAATTGGACACCTTCTGATCCTGTACTCTGAAAATCAATGTGGATAAGGCTTATAATTCTTTTTTTTTTTGAAATCATAAGACTTATAATTCTAATTCCAAGTCGACTGCAGTGAGAATTGTTATCAGGGATCATGAGGGCCATGCGAAATTAACAGCTTGGCACCTATTTGTTTAATTGAAGGGACGCTGAGGAAGCCAAAGCGGCCGCGTGTCGTGAAGGAATTCCACTGGCATGTACTATGAAAACCAATGTGGATGGGGCCTATATAATCCTAATTCCAGATTAACTGCAGTAGGAATTGTTATCAGGGACCATGAGGGTCATGCAAACTAATAGCTTGACGCCTGTTGTTTCATTGTAGGGACGCTGAGGAAGCCGAAGTGGTCGCGTGTCATGAAGGAATTTAACTGGAATCACGTTGGCCTGATACCACAATGATGTTTGAGACCGACTAGTCTCTGATGCGTGAAGCTCATCTTAAAATGGAAGGACTCTGTCGTCTATGTCAAGATCAGAAGCCGCCAAAATAAAGTGAAGCTCATCTCGAAATGGAAGGACTCTGTCGTCTATGACAAGATCGGAAGAAGCTAAAATAAAGTAGGGCATGAGTTAGCGCAATTAGCTATTAGTTCAAGTCGTAGTCCAGCTATTTGTAATGACACTACTTATTCTTAATAAATTTCCCATTTCACAAAAAAAAAAGCTTTGAGTGGGCCAGGTGCCAAGACTACACTAAAATTAAACGGAATGAAAAATTGAGATACTCAAATAAAACGGTATTGAAATTTGATGTTAAAATTAGACAAGTTGGAGAGTTAAGGTGCAAAATATGGACTTATTTAAGTCATAGCAGAAATCACATCACATCATTATTTAGAAAGGACATTGGCAAAACAAAGAAATACAGTTTATGTTAAGCAGTTCTTTACAGTAATGTTTTCCTTTTTTTTCACCACCGTTCACTTCGGATCGAACTATCTGATTAAAGGGAATCCATCTTATTCACATGTTCTTTTGTTGCCACTTTGTAGATCGTACTAGACAAAATGGGAGAAAAAGAACTGGTACCCTACATTTTGCATCATTGGTTCAATTTGTGTTACCAGAGCAACTTCAGCTCTGTTAGCAGGGAGAGTAATGCAGTCCAAGGGAACCAAGAAGACAAATTTACATTAGCAGCCCGTGTCCTGGGGGCCGGTGTATTATTCTGTCAAGGCCAAAAACCAAAATATTCATCAGCACTTCAAAGTTAGCACAGAAATGGTATCCTGGTCAAGTAAAATTATAACCAGAAGTAATGGTTGGCTGAAGCTTTACCTTAAGGAACCAGCTCTCGCGTGTTAGTATGGTTCACTTCAGAACCCAGCACTGGGATTGGCAGATCCCGCCGCCACAACTCCCATTCCGCTTCCCTGCGCACCTGTCTGCCCTCTCAGCTTCCCTTCTGCAGAAGTTTCCCATTTGCCATCTTTGTCCATCTCTTGCACAAGCTCATTGATCTTCCGAAACTGGTACGGCCACCTTGAGTTGTACAGAAACTGGCGAAGGTCGAACCTATTGTCCTCTGGTGAATAGCTCTGCAAAAGCGGCAGCGCAGGGTTAGAACAGCAAGCAGGCAGGTGTTATGAAATGTAGTAGGTCGGTACCTCAGCATGATAAGATGGTGTCAAAACAGTCATCTTATGCCGATTTATGGCATAGTACTTGAAGAAGTGCTTCACTTTGTCTGCCACTTCAGACGGAGATAATCTTCCACACCAACTGTGGCACAGGTTCTGCAGCAATTTGTATTAGCATAGTTAGGGCCCCACTACGCTCAAACATATTTGCAAAAGTAAACTATCTGTTGAAGGTTCACTTTAAGATGGTTGCAGAATATATACCTTCATATACACATCTTTTTAGTTTTTAACGAAGCAGAAGACAACGATTAATGTTTCCCAATTTCTGAGTCTATAATCTAGGGTCCTCCAAATAAACAAATTGTTTTTTAAGTTTCCTTACATGTGACTCATCCTTGGTAACTTCTTTGAATTTGCTAAAGTAATTTTGTTTAGCCCTCTTCTGCATGATAGTTAACAAGTTGCAAACTCATACACAACAACAAAGTTATGATAACTTTAGCAAGTACTGTGTTATTGTCATTGTATCAGTTAACTGTTAAAGTTCTTTAGGAATTTTCATGTTAGACACTATATAACATGCAGGAAAAGTTTAATATTCCCATGTGAATAGAACTGCTGCTATGAGATTCCTGCAAAGTTCATACTGATTCCTATATTAACTAAAATTTGTACAACCCTTACTTTTTGTGCTTCAGAAACAGTTTTCAATCATTTAGTCCTACACATGACTGGAGAGGGGTGAAGCAATTGGTCATGAAAAATATAAAATATTAGGGCAAAATCACAGAAAAGAAGGATTTTTCACAACACAGAAGCCGCTACAAAAATACTTTAGAAGGAAACTGCTAACCACGGAAGGCTCAGTTGTTATACATGGGCAAATTTAAAACATAGCGTAAATAATAACAAAGAAAAAAATGCTATCCCTCATAATACAAATCTATCCTGCAGTCAATATGCTGATAAAGCTAGACAGACAGCACATAAAATTTTTAACTGCGCTGCAAATGGAAAATGCAATTTCAACAGAATGCTGAGGAATAAAATAATCAAGGCTTTGTTTGGGACAAATAATTTTCTCTGATTCTTGTGGAAATAATCAAGGCTTTAACTCCGCCTATGTTGTCTCAACATAGCAGGTCCCAAGCCCTGGTAAAGGAGGAGGGTTGTTATAGGCGTGGCGAGCCAACGTTAAATCTAGCCATTCTAATAAAGATGAAACCCGAAAGAAAACCGTTGGGACGTAACCCTCTTCGCGACGCGCCATATCGGAACCCGGATATGGTGTTAAATGAGCAAGGGCCGGGTCGTCACCCCCGTGACACACCGTGTCGCGATCTGGGCACGGTGTCAAGTGAACAAGGATCGGGTCGTCGCATCCTTAGTGGCACGCTACATCGGCGCCCGGGTGTAGTGAAAAATGAGCAAAGGTCTTCACATCTGAGTCGACGGGTGCGAAGGGTAAGGAAGCTAGTCGAACCAACTAGGATCCGTTTAGGTAGTTGGAATGTAGGGTCGCTTATAGGTAAGTTAAGAGAATTAGTTGATACCGCGACTAGGAGGCGTGTAAATATATTATGCGTTCAAGAGACTAAATAGAAGGATCAGAAGGCGAAGGAGGTGGACAACACATGTTTTAAGTTTTGGTACACAGAGACAATTGCGAATAGAAATGGAGTAGGAGTTTTGATTGATAAGAACCTCAAGAATAGTGTGGTGGGAGTAAGAAGGCAAGGAGATAGGATTATCTTAGTCAAGCTTGTCTTTGGTGATATGGTCTTGAACGTAATTAGTGCGTATGCCCCCCAAGTAGGCCTCGACGAGAGTGCTAAGAGACAGTTCTGGAAAGACTTAGATAACCTGATTAGAGCTGTACCTAGTAGTGAGAAGCTTTTTATAGGAGGAAATCTTAATGGGCATGTAGGTACTACAAGCACAGGTTTCGAGGCAGTTCATGGAGGTTTTAGGTATGGTAGTAGAAATCAGGGGGGGGAGGAAGTTCTGGACTTCGCGGTAGTTTTTTATCTGATGATAGCCAACACTTTCTTTAGAAAGAGAGAATCTCATCTAGTGACCTTCAGTAGCGGACAACACTCTAGCCAGATTGACTTTGTCCTCACAAGAAGAAAGGACAAACGAGCATACTTGGGTTGCAAGATGATACCAGGGGAGTGTGTTGTTTCTCAACATAAGCTTTTGGTGGCAGACTTTCGTTTACAGGTGCGTGCCCGTAGGGATAAACAAGCTAAGATTGAAAGAATAAAGTGGTGGAAACTGAAAGGGAAGACGCCAGAGGTATTCAGAGAAAGGGTTATCATAGAGGGCTCTTGGAAGGAAGAAGAGGACATAAACAACATGTGGGAGAAGATAGCAACCAACATTCGGAAGATGGTCTCAGAGGTGTGTGGAGTAACCAAAGAAAGTGGAGGCGAGGCTAAAGATACTTGGTGGTGGAACGAGGAAGTCCAAAGGGCTATTAAGGAGAAGAAAGAATGCTATAAACGCTTGTACCATGATAGGAGTGTGGACAACATAGAGAAGTACAAGTTGGCAAAGAAGACTGCAAAGCGAGCTGTAAGTGTGGCAAAGGGTAGAGCGTACGAGGATCTTTACCAACATTTGAGTACGAAGGAATGAGAGAAGGACATTTATAGGATGGCTAGGGTTCGTGAGAGAAAGACAAGGGACTTCAACCAAGTTAAGTGCATTAAGGATGAAAGGGAGCATCTCTTGGTGAAGGAGGATGAGATCCGATATCGATGGCAAGAGTATTTTGACAAATTGTTCAATTGTGAGAATACGGACATAACCTTTAAGTTGGATGACTCTTTTGATGACACCAATAGGCGCTTTGTGCGGAGAATCTAAGAATCTGAGGTCAGAGAGGCGTTGAAAAGGATGAAATGAGGTAAAGCGATAGGACCAGATGGTATCCCAATCGAGGTGTGGAGATGTCTTGGGGACATAGCTATAGTATGGCTAACCAAGCTGTTCAACCATATTTTTCGATCGAACAAGATGCCTGATGAGTAGAGGAGAAGTATATTGGTACCGATCTACAAGAATAAAGGGGATATTCAAAGTTGTACTAATTACCGGGGAATTAAGTTGATGAGCCATACTATGAAGCTATGGGAGAGAGTTATCGAGCATCGCTTGAGAGCAATAACGCGGGTCTCTATGAACCAATTTGGTTTCATGCCCGGAAGGTCAACCATGGAAGACATTTTCCTAATAAGACAAGTGATGGAGCGGTATAGGAAAAGAAGAAAGACCTACACATGGTTTTTATTGACTTGAAGAATGCTTATGATAGAATACTAAGGAATGTTATGTGGTGGGCTTTGGATAAACATAAAGTCCCAATGAAGTACGTCGGGCTCATTAAGGACATGTACAACAATGTTGTGACTAGAGTTCGAACAAGTGATGGAGACACGGATGACTTCCCGATTAGGATAGGACTACATCAAGGGTTAGCTTTGAGCCCTTATTTATTTGTCTTAGTGATGGATGAGGTCACAAGGGACATACAAGGGGGCATCCCTTGGTGTATGCTTTACGCGGACGATGTAGTGCTAGTTGATGAAAGCCGGACAGGAGTGAATCAGAAACTGGAGTTATGGCGGGAGACTTTGGAGTCCAAAGGTTTTTAGACTCAGTAGAACTAAAACTGAGTATATGAGATGTGACTTGACACTACTACTCGGGAGGAGGAATATATTAGTTTGGAAGGTCAAGTAGTGCCTAGGAAGGATACCTTTCGATATTTAGGATCGATTACTTTGAGAGACGGGGATATTGATGAAGATGTTAGCCATAGAATCAAAGCGAGTGGTGGATGAAGTGGCGCCAAGCATCTGGTGTCCTATGTGACAAAAGGGTACCACAGAAGCTAAAAGGCAAGTTTTATAGGACGGCGATTAGACCTGCTATGTTGTATGGTGCAGAATGTTGGCCTACGAAAAGACGACATGTTCAACAGATAAGTGTCACGGAAATGCGTATGTTGCGTTGGATTTGCGGTCATACAAGAATGGATCGAGTTCGGAATGATGATATATGTGATAGATTAGGGGTAACACTAATTGAAGAAAAGCTTGTCCAACACCGGTTGAGATGATTTGAGGCAGAGGAAGACCGAAGTTGACTTGGGTAGAGGCAATAAAAGGAGACTTGAAAGGATGGAATATATCCAAAGACTTAGCCTTATATAGGAGTGCTTGGAAGACAGCTATTCACGTGCCTGAACCTTGATTGCTTCTGCTGGGTTTCAACTCTAGCCTACCCCAACTTGTTTGGGACTTAAAGGCTTTCTTGTTGTTTTTTTTTAGTAAACAGAACAACATAGTATTTGTATTTGTACTGTATGATACTGATTTCTATTTTTTTTTGTGTGTAAGGATCTCGTTCTTGCAAGGAATGAACCGTATGGAAAAAGTACCTCATTAGGATAACCTAGAAAACTAATAGGATAATAATTAATCTCTTATAAATAAGATAGAATATTCAACTACATAATACAATCCCTTCTTGAACAGGAGTGCTTGGAAATCAGCTATTGAAGTGCCTGATCCGTGACTAAAGGCTCTTGGTGGGTTTCAACTCTAGCCTACCCCAACTTGTTTGGGACTGACAGGCTTTTTGTTGTTGTTGTTGTTGTGGAAATCAAAGGGTTCCTTGTGCAATCCCTGTGTTCTGAACAAGCCCTTAAATATTAAAATACATACCTGAAACATTGAAACAGGACCACATCGGAAAATTTTCCTTAACCTTCCATATATAGACAACTCCTCATATGTCATTCCCATGTCTACTTCATCCAACTAATAATGAAATATAAATATGGTCAAATGAGAGTCAAGATGGACAAAAGGAAAATAGTCAAGTTGACATGATATAAACTTCCTTGTCAGCTGGTTAAGACACAAACAAATGAACTTAATGATAGTGTAGAAAAAAAAAGAAATATGAGGATGATACTAAACTGAACCTAGTCTAACAGATATTGAAATGAAGATGGAAGCGTTACTTAAGCAGAAAAAGGTATAATAAGCTATTAATGAGCATTCTAACACACAACAACAACAACAATGAGCTATTAATGAGCATTCTAACACAATGAATTGAAAATTATCTGCTACTTCTTATGTCAAACCTCGACAGTTCAACCAGGAGAAGGGCAGTCTATATATTTTAATCTGTAAAAATGCATTCCAATTGTCTACATAAACATGCATTAGCCACAAGGGCATGGGACAGTCAAATTTTCAATGAGCACCTCAAAAGGAAGATATGATACGAACTGCATAAAGAGAAACTAGACCCACAGAAAATGCAACATGACACTGAAAATTTATGTAACTTTCGGTCATAGAAAGGAGTTCATACATTTAATTTCACTTAATATGGAATCCAAGTAGCTAATACAAACAGAAAACAACACCATGATAAAAATAACAGCAACTCCCTAAAGCAAAGAAGATCAATCAGAACAGCTAGGATGATTTTTTTTCTCAAATACGCAGGAGGACTGCATATCATTGCATTAAGAAGGAACAGCTAGGATGTTGAATGCATACAAGTGATCTTCAAGGCCAACATTTTCCATATCAAGCAAAGGTGCTTTGAAAATTAATTCAGTCCATGGATCCCCCTTTCAGCTCTTATGCATAATGTCAGGTCCAATTGTAAACAGTGTGATATCAGTTTTAGCCTCCATGTCTACATGAGGCTTCATTCTAGCCCTCTCTGGTTCATCTTAATAACATCTGGAGAACTTAAATTTTATACCATTATGTGTGAATGAGCATGCATGAGCGCTACCATGGTACAAGCCTCGAGTAAAAGTTCAAAGTTTTCACAATTTTGCACTACAGATTTATGCAGATATATCGAACATGACTTCTAATGATTTCCTTCTAAAAGTTGGAGATCAAGTTTATATATACCTGATTGTAGTTTGCCCGTATTGGCTCAAGCTCTGCAGTAGGTGGTGCAGCTTCAACCTCAGCCAAGGAAGAATACTTAAGATGAAGTGCTGCCCATCGTAAAAAAGCCCTCAGGTCTTGCTTACTTACACTTCCAATGGGGTTTATATCAGCTGAACTGCAGTCATACTTTGTAAAGCAAGAACAGTGTTATTACCATTTCCGCACACCAGCAAACAATATATTGCAGTTACAGAAATCATAAAGCAAATGCCATACCCATTGGGCATCTATGGAGCAATCTAAAGACACACCTAAGTTGGGCAATGCGTTACCTTTGTCAAATAACCACGTAACCCTTCATCGACGTTCGAGCTTCCAAGAACAAGATAGAACCCAGATTTGTTGTGGACCCATGGCATTAGAGAAGCCATCATAAAGGCTAACACCATCCTGATTCGGGCTTGAATATTTTGCAATCCCAGATTCTCGGTATTTGACCCCCCATCAATCTGAAGCAAACAAGAAATGTTTTTGGGTAGTAAAATAGACTTCCTCCCTTAAATTGAAAATCATATTCTTCTTAATGAAATGGCACGCAGCTCTCGTGCATTGTTTGAGGAAAAAAATGAAACTCATATGTACCGTTCGGTCTGATATTTTTACCGCTGAAGGGTAGCCAGATGCCAATCGGCTGGCTACCATCAATATTTTAATCTATTATCCTTGCTAAATGCTAATGAGAACTTTTGGCCACAACAATATCATCGAAACCCCTTGCACTCATGATACCAATCTATATTTTAAAGCCTGTAGATCTAGGACTGGTAACTTATAAGGATGGCCTTACATATAAGGTGCTAAGGTATGTAGAGTATAAAAGCGTAATGTCCCTTAGATATAGGGGTGGCAATTTCCCCCCTTTTTTCATTGACTCCTTGTGTCTTGAGGTCAGGGCTAGTAGTTCCTCCCAGAAGCCCAAAATGCCAGTGAGACAAGAGAACCTAACCCATAAGAGATAAGCCTGACAGTGACCAAAGCCACCTAAGCCTAACTACCCATTGCCCAGGCCACATTTCACAATTATTGCAAAAGAAAAAATAGTTAAAGTTTGCATGGCATACCTGTTAAGGGGTATTAAGCAAAATTTTCAGTCCAACAATAGCCACAAACTAAAATACTATGAAAAGGTGAATAAACATGAATTCAAATATATATGTTCTCTGCACACGAATCTGAGCTAGCTTGGCTAGTCATGTATACCCAGACCACTCATGTTCAAGTCCTCGTCAACACAATTTGGGTGCTTATTTTCTTCTTAATGAAATGCCACCTAGTTCCTCCTAGGTTGGTCTAGTTTATTTTTATGTTCTCTGCACTGCAGTAATTTAGTAAACTGAAGTCACGTTGAAGAAATACCTTGTAGCGTGGTCGCTTCCCAGTCAATGTTTCAAACAAGGAAAGAAAAGCAGATACTATACTATCAATGGGTACATTCAGGTGGAATGAACCAATCTCCTCAGCTAGCCTTTTGGCACGTGATCTGGTATCTTCAGAACTGTCCAGAACATGGCAATGTAAATAAAGCAGACTAACAATCTACAACTTCAACAAACAAAACTTCTACAATCACAGATAATCTAGAATACAAATTAAACAAAAATGAATGAAAAGCAGATATCTCCTATTTAATTCTTTGGATTGATTTACATTGAAATCATCACATGATTACCATTTAAAAAATCACGTTACAATGCTGTAGCAATTAGAAATTAAAACACTTCCATCACATCAAGGAAAAAATTCAAACTTCAACTACAGCCATGCATGTGCCAAATACAACGTTTTTAATGAAAAATTGTGGGGAGGTTCCCCAATCCCCACAGCACAAGCTGTTTTAAATTAAACTAAAGAAGAAAACATGTGTACAGAGTTTAAGGAAACAAATAAAAAAGGAAGTAAAGACTATCGCCATGACCCATCTTGTACAGTAACTTCATCTTTGAAGTTTCTTTTCCACACTGAGAAACTGGAGATTTTGTGTTGCCAAAGTACCCATGCAGCTATATGGAGAATTGGCCTAATGTGAGGGTAGTTGGAGTGGGAGTGGGAATGGGTTGTCCAGTCTGGATACTTTATGACTGTTGGTGTAGGATGCCTTTTTTTTTTGAACACGCAAGAGAGCTGCGTGTCATTGTGTTAAGAAAGAAATATGGTACAAAGTAACAGGAATAGGAATTAAAGAAACTCCATGCCCTTCCCACACCATGGACAGAAAAACTAAAAAGGGCACATACAAAGTTTGTAACCCAACTCACACTACACGGCTAGACACCCGGAGCAAGCAACTTTGGGAGCAGCTCAAGGAGCGATGTGGCGCCAACCAAGCACTAGAGAGCGCTTTCATTAGCAATGCCCTGCAGAACTACTGGAACGCTGGGTTCACCATGGAAGACAGTCTCCAAATTGTCCAGGAAACCAAGATAATTAGAGAGTGGAACCTTTTTCAAATCTCCTTAGGGAAAAAAAAATTGGCCAGAGAGATATCCCCCTGGACTTCAACTGTTCAATTGTCTAACCAGTGTAACTTGGGAGTCAGAAGTTGGCGAATCTCCGTAGGGATACCTTTGAACGCTCTATACCATGAACTAGAGAAACGGGCCTAGTGGTTCTGGTGTGTTGGATGCCTGGTCTTCGACTTTGGTGTCGATTCATAGCTTCTAGTTCCAAATTTGTAAAAAGACCCTTTCCCTCATATCAAATACCATACTCTTCATATAAATTTATAATATTGTTTGACCGTGTTGACACCGTGTTGACAGTAGTGCAAGTATTTTTCAGTAAGCTGCCAATATACAGGAGGCACATGTGCATACATATGCAAAGAAATCCCTCCACAGTGAATGAACTACAAACAAGTATACATACATATAACAAAGAGCATATACAATAGCAATAAGCATTATCAACATAACCACTTACACAATAATAATTCAATGCATTGGGCCTGATTGGCATCGCACCCCAACCTTCGTTCAGCGGATTCTCAAGCTAGTGGTGCCACCAAAGGATATGAAGGGGCTTAACTCACTTGATTATTCTTGTGGCTTGGGAAATTTGGAAGCGTAGCAACTGTTGTATTCTCACTCTTCAATTGTGCAAATCCAAATGTCACAGTGGTGCTGCAAGCAGTCACTAATGAGTGTATCCTTTGGTGTGCTAGTGGAACAAAACGTCTCTAGGAGATGCTTCCCAGGTTGTCTCAAATAGGCTATCGCTCCAGACTTGTGGTTGTTGGGTTGCCAGCTGCTGCAATTGGCTTGCTGCTTCTGTTTTCTCATTAAGTTGTGTTCGGAGTGTATCTTGTGACTGTGTCTTGGGTGTGTGTTTTTAGGGTTTCTCTACTTCCCTTTGTACTCTCTACTTTCTTAAACAAAATGATACACAACTCTCTTGTGTTTGAGAAAAAGGAAATGGGAAGGGCACACAGTAGAATAAGGTCACTACAAAGAAAAACTCACCTATTTTCAGTTCCCATGTAAACGGTGTAAAACAAACGTTTAGCCAATTCCCTGCTATCTGTGGGGATCTCCCCATCTTTATACTGCCCAATCCGAAGAGCATCTGCCTTAACTTGCTCATCTCCTTTCTCTATATCTGCAGGTTGTTGACATGATCATTAATTCTTTTGACAAAATTTGATCAATTAATCAAGAGGAAATAGAACACCAGGAACTTCCAGTGAGAAATTTGACGAGGAAGAATTCAAATGTGGGCAATTCACAGACTTCGGTCATATCAGCTCAAGTGCAGATTTAAAGAAGGCATAAATTTCACATAGGCAGCAAAAATGATGCTTGCAACTTCACAACTCATAAGACAATTATTTAGTATGGTGGATATTCATCAACCTGTTTGGTTTATTCAATTACATCAAGCTCCAATGGAAAAAAAATGGAGATGATGTCAATAGAGTATTCGATCATACCTATTTTTAAATATCTGAATTACAAGTATTCCATCATACCACTTTCAAATGTCTGAATTACAGCGCAAACCCTCAGTATGAATTAGAGCCGTGTATCATATATTAAGAAGAAAAAAGGGTTTTGAACCCATACAACACCATACAGTCAAACCACACAACACTTATAGATTCTTGCCACTGAACACAAACACTAAAACGACCTCGACCAACAAACTATCACTTGACCCAAGACCAAGGAGATGTGAAACCCTCAAGCCCCAGCTAAACACCAAAGTTGTAACTCCTCCCTGATGAACTCTATTACCCCCATTTAAAATTTGAAATTAGGCAAGATCCCATCAAACACGCAAAGATTGTGGTGATTCCAAATTGCCAGGCTCCAAGGATGATAATGGAGTTTAGACCTTTCTGGACTTGACCATCCACTCTTTCATTTGTTTTGGCCCAGCAAATGCCAACTAGAGATGTGAACAGAGGCACTTTATTCAAAAAGGAAAATTTAAAAGGTTATGACAATGCACTGAGCCCTATACATGTCAGCCCAAAGTAATGCTTCAGTATCATTCCATTTGATCATCATGTACAGTTTCCATGATATTTTATGTGTTAATTTTGATATTAGAATAATTACTTTGCTCTAATTTATTCCCCATGCCATGCCATGAACCATAGTTTTATTTCAATGGAATAAAACAACACTTCATCTGATAATTCATAGTCATGTGGCTTTCTCCTCCCTAAATGTTAACATATGCATCTGTTAACAAGTCTGATAACTCATAGTTAGGTGGCTTTCTCATCCCTAAATGTCAACATATGCATCTGTTAACACTCCTGCAAACTATGTTTCGAAGACAATTCAGAGAACCTTCTACTAAAAGGTTTTTCTTATCCCTAAATAGTAACTTATGCATCTGTTAACACTCCAGTAAACTATGTTTCGAAGACAATTCAGAGAACATTCTACTAAAAGGTGAACGAAGGAATACAGAAATTAGATCTGACCTTTTATAACAAGTTGGCACATGCACCCGACTATTGCCGCAACAGATGAACTATCCGCACCACCAGAAAGGGGAAGCAAAAATCCTGATGCTTGACTCCTCCTCAAATAATCCCATAGCCAACAACTAGGTCCAAACGCAATCTCTTCTTCAGGACAGTGATACACAATCTGTGCTCAAAGATGGACATGACAGAAAAGGTTACTCCAAATACCCATTTGCACAGTTTTCATGATTTGTAGGGCTCAAGAGATAGACAAGGGAGAAAGCATTTGCCTATGAATACTTAATAAAACGACAATCAGGGTAACAATGATTTTATGCAATGTTTTCTCAGTATAAAGCAGATGTTCAAATAGATTGTCAACAATAGTTACGATATTAGCAGGAAGAAACTTTACAAAATAAACCCAGGATGCTAGAAAATTCATACATACAGGATTATAAAATTCCAAAGCCCAAGCATGTTTAGTCAATAAAAGCTCCAAGAATTGGCCAATACCTTAGGCTAATTTAAGATTAACCAATTGGGCTCTGCTGTGAAATTCTTCTAAAAGCAATTAGTTCATATTGTATATATGATTATGGGATGAGCTAACAGGCATTACCTATCAAAGCTTAATCATCGTACACTGGTGACTGGTTTACGTTGTTGAGGCCCATACTAAATGCTCTAACTGGAAGAAAGCTTGAGTTGCTTTCAGATATGGTAACAAAAAACCACCTACTAAGAGCATCTCCGTCAGATATCCTATTCAATCTCCTATACCTAAAAAATAGTGTTTTAGGAGATAGAGGAGCTGCAGCAGATCTCCTATCGCATCTCCTATACCTATAATTTTTAAGAGATCTCCTAAAAGAAGCATCATCTCTCCTAAATAAAGGCGACAACCCCCTCTCCCCTATCCTTAAAAAAATATAGGAGACAAGTTTTAGGTAATCTGCTGCAGCAGTACTCTCCTATATCCTAAATAGATTTTAGGGTACTATCTTAAAGCAACTTATAGGAGATGTAATATGAGAAATCTGGTGGAGATGCTCTAAAGCATTACAGAATAACATTGAAATATTGAAAGACCAACTAACCTCAACTGGAGAAGTTGGAATCATTCCACTCTGAAATGATTGGCAAAGCTTATATGGTACCTTCACAAAAGGTACATTTTTTCTGTGGCTTGCTTGCTCTCTGAAACTAGAAACAGATGATCGGTAACTCGATACCTGATCACAGAAATGAATGATTAGTTGTGCTAGAATATGAATCATTTGTAATAAAACTACAGCTAGATAACTCATAATTTGTAGTAAAGCAGAACAAATGTGGACTTTGGAGAACTGCATATAGTAAAGTAGAATACGACCCATGTTTGCACAATTCATAGCTCACAAACCTAAAGCTTACGAAATATAGTAAAGCGGAATAAATATGGACTTTGGAGAATTGCAAACAGGCAAACACTCAATAAGAAGTTTCTAAAAGATGCAAAGAATAAGTAAAAGCACGGAATGGATATACCAGGCCTAACAACTAAACTAACTATTATACCCATAATGATAATTTCTTAACAAATATTCTTTCTATGCAAACAGGGAAAGGTGTTTTAGATGGTAGATATAGAAAATTGGGGAGTAGTTGAATGTATTGTTTTTGCCACAACCCACCTTACCAATTTTTGGTAGGGTCCAAAGAATTAGGCACTTGCTTGGATAGTTGCAAATTTTTTGAATGCTCATGGCCCTAGTTCACATCATATGAATTTTATTGTCAATCCTGAGATCCTGGCAATCTCGTGGGCACTATGGACAACATTTTTTTTTTTTGCTACTAGGAACAATTTTATCAAGGTTGGTTGGGCAACAAACCAAAGAATAATTTTCATGTAACTAAAAATAGAACAAAAAGGAACAGGAAACAATCAAAGGATTACACAAATACAAAAATACCTAAAGGATTAGAACTTACAGCATCAAGATCTACCAGAGCATCCAGAACTTCTACATCCTTCAACGAAAATTGAGATCCCTGAGCTATCAAATCACCGTTTACCGCAATGCAGCAACAACCATCTAGTGGGAACATTTAAAAAAACAGAAAATTTCTCTGAATAAGTATGATCAACATAGAACACAATTGCAGAATTAAGAAAGGAAGGGCCAAATCAGGAATGTCATTCAGAAACCTTAAAGTGGAAAACAGCATACATAGTAGTTAATACATCTTCTGTAAACAGCACTCTCAGAAGGCACTTCAGTTCATAAATCATAAAAGAACAAACTCAATTTCTGTCCCCAGTAAAATATCGTCATGGATTCATGGATAAGCACCTGCTACCCCAGCCATCAGCAATTCTGAGGTATAGCCACAGGAGTTATTTGCAAGAAGATTTTTTTTTTTTTAAGAATTCCATTCATAACATCACATCCCCTCTGTCGGACTACCCAAAACCACTAAGTCCAAACTGACATGCCACGTATCCTACATAGAGTTTCAGTACTGCAACCTCCAACAATAAGGGAGAGGACAAAGCATTTTGCTCCTAAGTTTTGTTAGCGCAGTGGATAATATCATGTGGATATGATAAACAGACATTCAAGTCAGGTATAAAAGAATTAAAAAAAACCATGAATGTTGTGTTTGTGTTGTAAGTTGGTTGACAACTGAAGATGAGAAAAGAAAATCAGATAATAAAAAACAAATCTACAAGAGCACAAACAACGGCATTTTGAGATACCATAATAAAGGCGGCCACCATCACATCCCTGATGATTAGCATACATGTAAACACCGCCACATGTTTGAGTTGCATTCCTTATGCAATCAATCCGAAGATTGAGCTTCCTTAACTGATGGTGGCTTCCACTTGCATTCATGAAAACCTCAACACCATTCAATGCTAAGTCAATCCGAGGAGCGTTTGCTGTAAAGAGCTCTTCACAGGTTTCAGCAGCCAAAGACCTGGACAAAAGGATTTTTTTTTTTTAAAAAGATCAAATAGTAACTAATGCTTAAGTAGTGCTTTATCATCAATAATAGCATCACAGAGAGTATACAAATTCACTAGTTTATGAAGCATATGGACTAAACCTTCATGATAAACTGCAGAACATTTCAAACTAAGAAAGTGGTATGTCTTATTTCAATCCAATATCCAACTCAATTTGAAAAAAGTTTATTCAGCTCTTTGATACCATGTACTCCTACATAATACAATTGACTTCTAATCCATGGCAGCAAACCAATGGTTTTCTCTAGCATGTCTGCATGTGCATGTTCATTAGAAAAGCAGGAAGCTAAAATTACAACGACAGAAATAAATTCAAGTAGCATTCATACTTACACATCTAAAAATCGCATGTATCCATAACCAAAAGGCACAGTATCCTGGGATATAGCCTCTGAGACTTCAATGGGGAGCTGAAAGTCAACAATCTCGTCTTTAAATGTCCAAGCAGAAAACCAACGGAATTCCCGATAATTTCCATCATTTGCAAGGGACATCTTTGGCCGGATCATGATTATCTTGCGATTTAGGCAGAAGACCTGGCAATTATACCGCACACTATTGAAAATAACCGGCATTCCTATGCTGCATAAGATGTTGTCCGTATAATCCCCAGTTAAAATGTCCTTTAAGCACTCCCACCTGCAGATTGATACACGGAATAACTAACAGCAGATGCATATAATAAGTCACATGGATAATATATTGTCTTCCAGATAAGGAGTGCATATTCAGCAGTTGTATCAAGATAAATGGAATGGTTTGAAGTCCCTGAATGCAGAGAAATACAACTTAAAAGACATGGGTGAATTGGTTGTCCTGCCATACGTTTACTTTTTTACTTATCAATTTATTTATTTACACGTTCTTTGTATAGCAGACAGAGATAGTTTTCCTATAAAAAGACTGAACTTAATTAGTACAATTTCTAGACAACATAGCTAATTCAACCAAGGTGGAGAAGAGAAGTAACCCATTCCACCTCAAGTGAACTGGTTCCACCAGAGTGAAGTAAAAAGTAACCGATTCTACCAGAGTGCAGTGGAAGTAGCTGATCCTATCGTACCAGAGTACAATCTAGCAGAATCCCCAAATTGTGAAAAGTATTAAGGCTCCACCACACGAGAAGGTAGCCACTGTAATTTAAGTGCGGGATACTTAATCTCGAGCAACACGGTAATCTACCGAATTTTATATATGAGCCATGGGAGCCGGGCTGGGCCGGCCGAGACTAGTAGAGATAGAAGGTACTAGGCGGTGACGTACGCGTGGGCGGTGGTGTCCTGCTCGAGGAAGTGGTCCTCGCAGCCGTAGCCGGTGAGCTCGAGCTCGGGGCCGACGCGGATGGCGGCGCCGGCAGCCTTGGCGCGCGCGATGGACTCCTTGACGTTGCGGAGGTTGGTGTCGAAGTCCATCGCCCACTGGTTGAGGTTGCACGTGGCAACCCGCAGTAGCCTCATCTCGCCCGCCACCCAGATCAGGGGCTACTCCCCTCCTCCTCCTCCTCCTCCCGAATCGAGACCGCCGGCGTGCGAGGCTCGTTGGTTCGGCCTTCGGCGCGCCGGGGAGAGGATTGAAGGCGGCGGCGGGCCGGCGGCGGAAGAATGTTTCGGCTTTTCGTGTGGGCCTGTGGAGGGAGTGGCTGTGCCGGTGGGGAATCGAATCGACGAACATCGAAAGCACCGGAGGCGTGGCCGCGTGGGCGGCTCCGATGGCGGAATCAGGCGCCAGCTGTCTCCTGGGACCGGGATCCACCCGTCTGAACTCAAAGCCCTACGCTACGTTGCTACAGTACCTCGCCGGTCGATAGGTTCCGTTTTTGGGACGGACGACCGCTGCAGTTCTCCAAACGGAAATGCTCCTACCCGGCGGTCCGACGCTATTTTAACGGGAATCACAGGCCATGCAGCCTCCCAGCGGCCCCAACATCTCTGCCTAACATGTTTCTCTCTCACACCGTTTTTCGTCTCTCCGACACGGCCAGTCATCTCTGTTTGCCTTTCTCCTTCGCCTTGACCGCCTTACTCCCTCACTACGCCTCTTCTTCCCTCGCGGCCCTGCCTGCTCATGCCCATCCTCTTTCTTCTTTCGCAGCTTGCACCTACCCGCCTTCTTGCCTTGCCTCCATGGCAATACCTCTATGTTGAGGTGTCCCTCGACTATGAACTCCTCTATGTTTGGATCTATCTCTCAGTGACAAACTACACAATCGAGGGGTGGCCTCGCTGGCGGCAAGCTCCTCCATGGTGTTTGGGCTCCTTCACAAGAAAAGATCAATCGGATCTGCACTCTATGGTGGGTTATGTCGTGGTATGTGATTATGTTGCCACAATCAATCTTGGATGTTACAAGTTTTACGGCAGACTCCGTACAAATTGGATTTTGCGATATTGCAATAGCTTATTTGAGATGTTGTAACATGTTTTTTTATGTTACATGAGGTGATTCAATATGTTTCATTGGATAATTTTGATATGTCACATGGTTTGATTTTGAGATGTTGTGGTTTGAACGTGAAGCAAAAGGCAATGTTGTGGTGAGATTTTTTTGTTCGAATCATCTATATGCGTGTGTGTGATTTTCAGCTTTAATTCATATCCTCGATATTACATAAGTTTATTTTCAATGTTGCATACACTATTTCTTTAGGCCATGTTAGGTTTCACCTGATTTTGGCCCCTTTTATTCACTAAATTGCCAAATAGGGTGATTAAAAAGTGACTAAACTGGTTTAGTCCTCTAGTTCCTTGGGGTGACAAAATGTGGGGTCTACCCCCAGGTACCCACGGCGAGGGACATGGGCCGCACCATCAGGGACGGACCAGCCCATGACATCAAGACTTGCGGCGCACGGTACTAGTCGGCGTACACCGCAAAGCTTCAAGACGATATCCTGAAGATGGCGCAAGATCTCTTAGGATATGCCGTATATTAGATTTCTTGTAAAAATCATTACTTGCTCGATTAGACTAAGATCTAACCGACCTATAACCCTACCCCTCCAGAGTATATAAGGAGGGGCAGGGGTCCTCTAGTCGACATCTCCATCCGACACATCATCTTATATTCCAGCAATACAAACCAGCAGAGCATAGGACATAGGGTTTTACGTCACATTGACGGCCTGAACCGACATAGGGTTTTACGTCACATTGACGGTTTGAATCTGTATAAATCTTGTGTCTTGTGTGTTACTATCTAGTTTTTTATCATGCGCACCTCTACCAATTAATCTACTATCGTGGACATACCCCTTGATGGACCGTCCGAACGTCTTTAGTCAACAGTTAGTGCGCTAGATAAAGGGCGTGCATGTTGATCCTCCGGTGAACCAGATGGACCTCAAAATCACCGCCATCCATGGCAATTTGGCTTTTGGCGGCGACGCCCTTCACCTATGATGGAGCCGCCATCTTGAGGCTATTCACAGCGGCTCGACGTCACTACGCAACTCGTCGTGAATTCACGGTAGTACGCTTCGGTACGAGGAGTCAAGCGGTAGATCCTGTTCGACGCACATGGCTATGCATCCTGCAGCAACCCGATTAATCAGGCTTAGCGTCGGCCGCAAGACATCGCGCTCCTATTTTCCTCCTCGATCTACGTCCAGCTCGATGCGTCATCAACCGCGGCCTCAGGCTACGGAGCTCGGAGTACTTGGCGGCATCACGCGTGCACCGTGAAAGCATTTAGGTTATTAGTTGGGTTTCGGTGATTAATGACAATACGAGATTACCTTGACTAACGTGTGTTTTGTAGAGGCAATTAAGTTAGGTCATGGTAATGACAATTGATTGGGCAATCATGGTTGTCATGCCCCTACGATGGAAATCGTTTCGGTTTTCAAAGGATGGACGACAAGGTTAAGGATTGTAACACCCTAGGTGTTAAGCTTGCATAATTTGACTTGCATTGCATGAGCATTTGCATTAAGCATTCATATTTAAGCTTTTACATTTCAAACATATGCAACATGCTTGTTATTTTATGTTTTCTTTGTATATGTTTATGATCATGAGTGAATAGGTGTAAGTAGTTGATGTTAGTCACTAAACATCTTAGCTACATTTAGGATGACTAATGGAACAATGTTCTTGAAGGTCACTTTGCATGATCAAGTCCTTAAGTGATGCTATGTATGTTGACCTGAAAAGTAAATTGTGTAACCCATGTATGAAATATTTGTGTGACCTTATGCATAGCTCAAACATGTTTATAATGTCATTATGAACAACTTTGGTATTCATGACTGAGAGTAATTTGGTCACTAAGTCATAGTTCAAGTGTTAGTCATCATTTGAATGTAGTAGGTTTGACCTAGTTTGAACCATATGATAGAGACTTTGCATGTATGTTTTCACTAAAGCAAAGTTATAGTATTTGAGTAGAGCAACAACTTTTATTTTTGGGTCATGAGCTAATTATGTGCATAGCTTAAACTTTTTGAGCTCACAAGATTCAACATTTTGCTGTTTTTCAAAATCAAAAATTTCGCTAAGTCATTTTCGACTAACAGTGTGACGAGCTCAACTTTAGGCTGATTTTACTCCCTAACTGCTGCGAATTAGGAGAAGGTCTCTAAAGGAGTTTTGTAGCTGGTACATAGGGCTTCGAGTTTTGTTCAGATAGTTTTCTCTATTACGCTACGGATTGAGAGTTTGATCGCTAGCAAATCGCGCTGTCAGGCTTCTAATCGCTCCCTGATGAACGCCGCGCCGCGCCGGTTCGTGGCCGGCCGGCCACAGACGCTGGCCGCCGCGTGGAGGAAGTGAAGCCGCGCGTCGTCGTTGCTCTGCCCAGCCAGGCCACGCCGAGCCAGAGCGCGCCTTCAACATCCCCAGCACTCGCCCGCCCCTTCCCGTGCTCATATTTGCATTTTCTCCTGCCTCCTCCTTCGCCGTCCGCAGCAGCTCAGGCAGCGCCACCGTCGCCATTACCGGCACCAGCTCGCTCCACCTCGCTCGTTCACCACCGCAGAACTCCGACGTACCCCCAACGCACCACCGCAACCACATTTGCTCGCTCTCCACGCACGGTGAGGCTTCCGTGCCGCGTTCGGCTTCACCGGCGTTCCGCCACCGTGGCCCGTCACCGTGGTCCGGCCAACTCCGACCACCGAGTGCCAAGTTTAAGTGCGCAATAGGTTCATCGTATCCTGTAGATGCTTGGCCGAGCCCTAGTTTGAGTCGTCGTGGTCACCTCCAGCATATCGCTGTCGACCGCGTCCGCCGCACCGCCATGGCCGCCGCCGTCGTCCTTCGCTTCAATAATCCGTCCACCTAGATACCTTATCGTGTGCGCAAGGTCGTGCGTTGCCGAGAGGTCGGCGCCGGCGAGATAGCGCCGTCCCGCGCGCTCCTCTGTTTTTGCCATCACTGACATGCGGGCCCGTCTGATGTGTGGGTCCCGACTATCAACGGCTCAGTCATGAAAGATAGTTCATTTATTTTCAATTTTGTGTGCAACTTTGAAAAATGATAAGTTGAGTTGTAGAGATCCAAATCTTGTGAACCAAATTTTGTAGTGTTCCTTAGAAAGTGTATTATTTTATAAAAATATGATAGGTACAGTTTCTGATGTTTTTATTAAGGATTAAAATGCATTTAGATAAATGCTTTTTGTATGTTTACAATTTTATAAATTAGATATCTTGAGCTAGAAAACTCCTAAAATTGTGATTCTAATTTTGTGGATTTTGTATTGACATGCTCTAGCTAGAAAAAATAATAATCTTGCTATAAACTTGATTTAAATATGGTCTTTCTATTTATTTATTAATAAATGACATTGTCTAAGGAAAATTGTAGGGATAAAAATATGTAATATATTGCCATGCAAATTTTTGTATAGTGGTATGGCACTAATATGAAGCTAGAAAAAATATATAATCTGTTGTTTGACACTTTTCTATAGGGTTTATTATTTTCAATAAATTAACCCTTGCTAGCTTAACATTTTTTCATAGGATGTTATACATGTGCAAATGATATAAAATTTTCATAGTAGCATATTGTGAGCATTAGGAGTCCATTGTAATTTTATGAGAATTTATTATGCAGCTTTGGTGTATGTTTATTATTTACCCTAATTATTTAATTAAATTAATAAGGGCATTTAAATAAATGGATTGTGATTGACCATGATGTTTTCTATGATTCTTAGGATGCATAGTAACTATTGATGTTAATAGTAGGGCTTAGAAGTAATTGATCGTATGCAACTAACTAATTATCACTTTATAATTTAAATACAAGGTTGCATGTATAGTTTTGATTGTGTGGATGATTGCATGTTAATAATGGTCTTATGTGTAAAACTTATTAATAACAAAGTTGTAGATAACTTACTAATCCACCTTGTATTAAATTTTCACAGTTATAGGACTTAGGGTTTTAGAGTTATAGCTATTACAAATTTACTGTCCGAAATGTTTACTTTCTGGACAGATTTGATTGAATGA